TTAAAGTAAAAAACAAATTATTAAACTGCATTATAATGAGCATTTTTCTTTTTGCAAGATGCGGACAGGGCATGAGGTGTCTGCTTTAGTCTGGGGCTGTCCTCTGGGGACCCCTGGGGTGCACCTTCCATCTTTCAGCTCAGACCGTTTCCACAGGTGACTGCTCACAGGCAAGCCTCCCTGCTGCGCTCATTTGCCCAGTACTGAAGCCTTTCCCATCCTGGTGTCCACCTCCTCCTGCCTCCTTAATGCTTTCCTTCTCCATTTGGCTCTCAAAATCTAATCCATGCAAGGATAAATTTCCCTTCTTCATGAAGCCTTCTGGTTCATGATCACAGTCTCAACCTCTTCTTAGCATGTCAAGCTGAACTCAGACTATGTGCATTGTGGAGCTCTGCCTCCACATCTAAATGGAAAATGCACCTAGTCATGGACTGCACCTAAAACTTCTGTTATACTTCATACAGCTAGAAGATACACACTCATTCATTCATTCATTCATTCATTCATTCATTCATCAAACATACCATACATCTATTGTATTCTTTTATGAGTGACAGTTATAAAAATGAGTACAATACATTCCTTGCCCATGGAGAAATCAGAGTCTAGTTTGAGTCTCAAATATGGTAACAAATGTCTTTGTCACCTTCCCTCACTGAGACAAGGTATGTAGCACCTAAATTAAAAGGAGAGATCAATTTTGGCTCACGGATTCAGCCCACCAGAAACAGGCTGGCAGAGGGCCATGGCAGAAAAACAGTATCTGAACGCAGAGCAGGCAGGAGGCACAGGATAAAGGCAGGAGTGGAGGCCAGGAACACAAGTCCCCAGCGAGCCCCCCCAATCGAGCCTTCCTCCAACAGCGTATTCAGGGATGGAGTCCTCCATGGATGAATCCACCAGTACAGCATCCCGTGAGCTGATCACCATCCAGATGCGTAAGACTTTGGGGGACATCTTAGATCTAACCATCACAGCAGATCATTGAAATAAAATAGGATAAAATGTGACACTTGGCGAGCAGTTCATCAGCTCAACCAATGATCAGTCCTCGATTTGCGGACTGCACTCTCTGTGTCCTGTCCACAAGTATTCTCGCTGCTTAAAACTCAGTGGCTAGCAAGATGGCTGCACATGGCTGTAACTAGTTCCCCAAGACACCAAGGGGCAGTGCCAGAAGGAACTCAGTTCCTTTCCAGCCACTCTGATAGAGGAAAAACAATTCCAAGTTCATAAAGGACTGTCACAGTTGGGCAGAGTTGTTAGGACTCAAAAGAAATAAACACAAGACCACGTAATGAATTTTTTAACAAAGGTCCACACTCCGGGGTGGGGGGAATGAGCTGATCCAGAAGAGAACAGTAGCTCAGGGCTCTCAAAAAGAGGACAAAACTGCCACAGTGAGCCCAGAGGACAGGCTATGGCCCAAATCCAACTGATACAGTTCCTATCTCAGGTACAGGAACTAGGTGGTGGCAGGGTGTAGATTCAAGATGAAAGAAAGGAAAACAAATACATAGTTGGCTTTCAGCTCTTCAGCTTGCAGCAAGCTTATGCCTCACTTTGGGCCCATGAGGTGGAGATCTTGAGCATGAGAATAAAGCCCTTACCTGTGCCAACCTGGATTCCCTGCCAGTTACCAGGGAATCCATCTTCCGCAAACAGGACAGGGCATCCCCACTGCCTGGCCTGACAGCTCCCCCGCTGCTCACTGCTGCAGGATAAGCCCTGGCTGCTGGTCCTGGATTCAGGTCCTCACTTGGGATTTGTCACCAACAGGTGTGCGGTCCTGGGCAAACCCCTTCAGGGGATGACTTAGAAGACTCAGAACTGGGCCAGATGCGCTTCCTGGTCTTTCTATCCTGGAGATGCTGTGTGCTCAGCAATCTTAAACTAGGAAAGCAGGTCCAACTGGCAGTAAAGGAAGAAACACAGTACTAAGGACAAATGTGTGCAGAGGCGCCTTCGCCCTCATTTTAATATAACCCCTTTGGGGGCAATTCATTGTATCACTCTTATGTGGAAAGTCAATGTAAATTGTTGCCTGTCCTTGCCTAGTCTTAAAAAACATTCACTAGGTCTTATTTTATTATACCTATGTAACTTTTAAACAATCTCCTTTATTTTATTATACCTATCTAACTTTTAAACCAGTTCTCCAGTGTCACATAGAATAGTAGATTAGTATATCTTACCCCAGAGATAAGGGCTATGACCAAAAAATCAAACAATAACAAATACTGGTGAGGCTGCTGGGAAAAAGGAAGTTTTCTTCACTGTTTGGGTCAGTGCAAATTGGTACAACCAGTGGGAAAGATTCCTCAATAAATTAATTAGAAATTCCATTTGACTTAGCTATTCTAACCTTCTAGGTATCTGCTCAAAAGAGTTATATACATATTATTGCAGTGATAGATGCATACTCATGTTTAGAGCAGAACAATTTAGAATAATGAATCTGGGAACCAGCCTACATGTTGATCAACAGATGAATGGATAAAAAATGTGGTATTTACACACAGTGGAGTACTATTCTGCAAAAAGAAAGATAAACTCTGGTCATTTGTGGGAAAATGGATGCACCTCAAGACCGTAATGTTAGATGAAATAAATCAGACACACAAGTTTATATATTTCATGGATTCTCGTGTATGAAAAACCCAAACTATAACTAAAGAGCAAAATAAGAGATTTTTTTTTTTCAAATGGGAAGGAGATAGATCTTTCTCAAATGGAAATTAAATGATGAGCTTGGGGGAAGGGGACAGGGACAAAAAAGAAATGACAATATATTATACACATGCACCAACTCTGCACAAGAAATGTAAATATTGTGTGCTCATGAACTAATAAAAATCAAAAACTAGAGAATAATTAGGCTTAGATGAGTGCCGGGTCAAAAATGCTCAGCGGTTAGTGCGGATTGCTGTGTTATCTGCAAATAAAAATTACATTCCTTCGAAAAAATTAAATAGAATGCTAGACTCTTACAGATTGAAAATACAGCTAGTCCTGGGCTTGAAGTGGGGCTACCTTTTGATCATCATGCTGCCAGAAGTTGGAAATCTCATGAAGTTGAAAGTTCATGTGACACACCCAGGCTGCCGACCTGCACAGCTCCCCCAGCTAGCCCGCACCATGTGCCCAGGACACAAGCACAGAGCACAGCAGCCAACACATAGCTCAGGGGCACAGTGCCGGCCTCGTTAGCATGAGGTTGTGAGTTCCACTCCTCTTGGTGCCAAACAACAATGACAACATCAACAACAACAAAAACAAACTGGCAACGTGACACGCCCCAGAGCATCTGTTGTTTGTGCTCTGACTGCTCCTGTGGTTTGTAACTGGAAGTTCAGAGACTCTGCCGAGTCACACAGCTGCTTGGGAGCCAAGGCTGAGCTCTCACCCGGCCCTCTTCTTCCCTACCACATTCCAGAGCAGAGTCAGGATCTCCCAAGATGAAGGAAATAAAACTTTCATTTCCTAATGTGGCTGCTGCAAAACCCAGTCCACACAAATCTGGAAAAAGAGCTGATGTGGGTGCAAATGCAGTTGGGCGCACTGCCTCTCAGCGCCCAGCAGGGCGGGGTGGAAGCAGATCCAGATGGGAGCCCTGGAACTATAGGCACGTTACTGCTCCTTTGCAAATAACATGGCTTTGTGCAATGCAACTCTGAGTTCACAAATTGTTATTTTTCCCTTGGGGGCAAAAGAGGCAAACTTATTTCAGAAGATTTGGGATTGTCTTCCTTAATAAAAAATGGGGACACAGTGTGCATACATATGTGTTTTGTCACACTGGACCAGCTGCTTTTCTCCTTGTGGGTTGTGTGCTTTTAAATCAGTCAGTGTTGAGCCTGTTAGAGGATTGTCTGCTAATGATAAAGATTTTCTTTCATTTGTTTTACAGAAGCATTGAGTTTGTTTGTTGTGACTTCATTTCAAATGAGCACACCCAGTGCTGTCAGTTTTCATGCTTCTTCCATCTGTGTGTATCCATGTTACCTAAATACGGTCATACTGTTGATTCAGCTTCATGATCTGATTTCCTCTCTTAGACACACTTTCCATAGTCCCTGTGAATGCCATTTAATGGCCACCAATTAGTGGCCAGAATGGAAGTGATAGTGTTTCCCTCTTCTTACCTACTGGGGCTACTTAGATGGAATTGTCACAGAAACATAGAAAGTGATTTTGAGGCAATTGCCCTTTGGCAGAAGACATCAGCAGACCCATCTACATTATCTGACTTCCAGATAAAAAGGCCACCCCAGACTCTGCAAGGCCAGGTAGAGATGGCTGGTGGGAAATTCTTCCGATGCCACGGAGGAAACATCACAAACAGCTTATAACCAAAATACAGGTTAACCACGAGGAACAGAATCACTATCATGCAGCGCCCGTTCTGCCTTTCTCTGTCCTGTCCCGGTGTTCCAGAACAGCACAGAGGACCGCATCGGCAGCCTGCGTGGACGAATTAGAACCCTTCATCTCTACGCCTAGGCATTGGCAGTGATGGAAAGGAGCACGTGTGCTGCAGTGGGACAGAGGCTGAGCCAGCTTGACTTTAGGGTAACGGGTGAAGGGGGCAGACTGTCCCTTCTTGTGTCCTTGTCCTGGACTTTACAGGAACGAAAAAAGGAGGGGGGGGGCGGCAGGTGGAGATGGAGGAGGGTCGACAGAAGAGTATGGTTCTTAACATGTTACAAGGCAAAGGGTGCGAGGACTGGACAGAGGATGGGGGTGGGGTGGGGTGGGGTGGGGTGCGGGGTAGGGCGGACGAACAGAGGTGGCTGCCAGGTCCCAGTGAAAAGTGGTTCTTCTTTCCCTGGGGTTAGCGGGGATCCCGGGACCTTGGAGTGGTAGGCGAGGCTTGGAGGTGTGGGGGGCGGGGGGAGGGGGGCACGGGGTAGGAGGGCCGCCGCCTGGGAAGGGCGGGGCCTGGGAAAGGCCCAGCGGGCGGAGCAGGCGGGGCGGGGCTCAGCCCTGCAGCCTCCAGTCCCGGAGCTCCTGCATGTCCCGCTGGGTCCCACTGCGGTCACGGAGCCCCGGCCCCATCATGCTTCTGCTCCTGGGGCTGTGCTTGGGGCTGCCTCTCTGCACCGGGTGGCAGGAAGAGGCATGGAGCTGGGGTGGCGCTTCAGAGCAAGTAAGTGCGAGAGCGGCAGGGAGCCGGGTCCGGCGCGGGTGCCATCCCTTCCCTCCGCCTCCTAGGCCCGCGTGGCTTTTGGGCAGGCTCCCTCAGTCCGGTCAGGCGCCAGAAAGGAGGCATCACCTCCCTCTCCTTTCCCATCGTCTCTGCCCCGCAGCCTTCTGTCCCTGAGCTTGTCTGTCTGCTGCCCACTTGTGGGTCACCTCTGCCCCGCGCCAGGTGTCCCGCCTGAAAGTCTTTCTTGTTTAGTTCTGAGAGAGGACCCGTTTTCCTCCCAAACAAGTTAACACCAAGCTTTCTGGGTCTGTGAGACACTTTGTGGTTACTACTGCAGATTCAGGAAGCAGAGACAAGCTGGGAAAAGTCACCAACTCCTGGGAGCCTCTGGTGTCCCACCTGCAAATGGGGAGCACACAGCTTTCCGTGGGTCAGCGGTTTCATGGTGGCCTGGTCCGCCCCAGTACCAACTGCCAAAGCATCTCAGGTTCTTTAGTTGACAGTCTGTACATTTGTCAGAGTTTGGGATTTTGTGGGCAGAACCTTACAGGTGAACGTGAAGCGTGTGAGAAGACTGGGGAGGTTCTCTGAAGAGTGTAGCGCAGGTTCGCCCTGCACCGTTGGTGTGATCTCCCCGAGGCCTTGTATGGCAAGTAGCTGGCGTAGTGGGCAGCGCTGTGCAGACACATCTTTTAAATGACCTGGCTTAATACTCGCTTTTGCAAGATGAAAGGAAGATATAGACAGGTTGGTTTTGAACAGCAGATCTGGAAGATGAAATCTGCCCCAACTTGGAAAGTTATCTTCCGGCTGTCCCGAGGGGGCTCTGGTTTTTGAAGTGCAGCGGTGGTGATTCCCTCTAGGGCTTGTCCTGGGAAGCAATCAACAGAAGTCCCAAGAGGCTTTTGTGGTGGAGTGGGGAAAGGTAGGCTTGGGACCACCCGTGCCCATCCTGCCCTTTCCGATTGTGTGGCCAGGGCGAGCCCTTTATCTCTCCCAGCCTTCCTTCCCTCCTGGCCAAAGCAGGGAACGCAGTTTCTTCTGCACTTGCCCCAAAGGACTGGGCTGGCTTGTGCAAGGAACGGGTTCACAGGGTGGTAAAACGCAGGGTATTTCAGTGCAGGCTTAAGGGCATGCGCTCGGCTGCATATGATTGAATCCTCGTTCTGTCCCTTAATCTCTCATGACCTTGGCTGGTGATTTGTTGCCTCAGTTTCTTCTGTCAATGCAGAAAACTAATCCAGCTGTGAGGACTGAAGGAATCAATGTGCTCAGGCGCTCAGAACAGGCTTTGGAGCTGCGAGAGTGTCAGCTCTTACCAGCTGTTGGGTTTGAGCGGCAGATGTACAGAGGGAAGGAATTCAGGGTAAAGATCTTGAAAGTTTTTTGAGAGGTGGAGGGAGGAGCGCGTGGGAGGGACTGCAACAAAGATCCTATTTGTGAACCGGAGGACCCACAGAGCCCTGACGCCCTCACGTCCAAGCAGGCCTCACACTCTAAATCTCCCTCCTGGAAAAATGTGGATTTAGTCCATTTTGCTGACTTCATGCACTGCATTTCTTAACGCATAGCTAATATTTGTCTTGAAGATGACAAAGTCAGAGGAAAAAGTGCTAAAATGTAAAGTTGAGAAAAGAAAGTAATAAAAACCATTAAAATGTGTTATGTACTTGTACCAAATCCCCACAGTGAATGTAATCATTATATGCTGCAAACAGGTACCAATCAAAATAAAAAATTCAAAATATAAACTTCTAAATTATAAAGAAAATTTGCTGTTTTACCTGTGAACCATACTTAAAAAAAATTACCGTGTGTGTGTGTGTGTGTGTGTGTGTGTGTGTGTGTGTGTGAAGGTTTAAGTGACAGGTTCTAGCACCAGACCTCCCAGGTTCAAGTCCTGGCTAAGTGCTTGCTGGATAGTTACTTAATAGTTCTGAGCCTCTACGTCAGAATGAGGATGAGAAGATTACTTAATAAAAAGAATTTTAAACAGGTATGGTGGTGCACAGCTGCAGCCCTAGTGCTGAGGAGGCTGAAACAGGATTGACATGAGTTTGAGGCTAGCCTGGGCTACATAGTGAGTTCAAGGCCAGCCTGAAATACAAAGCAAGATCCTGTCTCAGAGAAAAATAAAAAGATTTTAAACAGAGAAAGCATCAATATACTTAAATTTTCGGACACAATTTTGGAGTGTTCTGCTCTTAAGAATTATGGACTTCAAAATGATATATAAACTTAGTTTTCAACAGAATATTTAAATTCTTTTTTTTTTTTTTTTTTTTTTTTTTTTTGTAATGCATTTGGTACAGGGTCTCATTGTGCAGCTTGAACTCATAGTGATCGTCCTGTTTTCAGCTTCCCCAGTGCTGGCATTACAGGCGGACACCACCACGCCTGGTCTCAGTGGCTGGCTGAGCACACCTGGAGGTGGGGTGGGGTGGCATGTGGTGCTGGGGATCGAACCTCTGTCCCTGTGCTTGCCTAAGCAGGCAGTCAGTCTACTGAGCTATCTCACTGGCCCCAGAATATTTAAATTTGCGGCAAACTTTAAACTTTAATGTAGTCAAATGTGTCTACTAACTTATATTGCAACTCTTGTTTGTCCATCACTTTATTAAAGGTAAAAGTAAAAGCACTAGCAACTCTTTAGGTTCAAATTCCTCTCTTTACCCCTCACTTTCCACTCCATCTGTAAACTATGCTACCCATAAAGGAGTGACTAGTAAAACATGATGGTTTCCAACCTTCTGAGTGCGAAAAAGTCACTTGGGGACTTCGTTAAGCATCATTAATGTAGACCCATTAGGTTTAGAGGGACAAGATAGGGGACAAATGATTCTGAACCAGATGATCCTAGGACCTTGAATATGACTAAAAGAACCTGTTATACCTATAAATCCAGCATCCTGGGAGGCTGAGGCACAAGGATTGCCAAGTCTGAGGCCAGCCTGGGTAACAGAAACCTTTTGGGACTCTGCCTCAAAACAAAGACTCCCAAAGCAATAAGGACAGGGATGCAGCAAAGTGTAAAGGCCCTAGGTTCAATTTCAATACTTTTTTTTTTTTTTTTTTGTGGAACTGGGGATTGAACTCAGGCCCTTGCACTTGCCATGGAAGCACTTATTCCACTGAGCCATCTCCCCGGCCCCTCAATTTCAATACTCTTAAAAAAAAACCTAAAGAATCTTTTAGGAAATTAATGTTAGAAAGGAGTTTTCTTGTATAAAATCAGTCTGGTACAATATGCTGAATGTCTGTTTTGCAACTTTAAAGTTTATGTGGAGGGTCGGCCAGATAGATAGCTCAGCAGACTAATATGCCTGCTTAGGCAGAGCCCAGCGGCCAGGGTTTGATCCCTCATGTGCCGTGCCGGCCCCACCCGTGGGCCCACTGAGATAGCAACTGAGACTGGCATGATGGGGTGCGCCATTATGCTGGGGTGTAATCAGCGCTTGGGAGGCTGAAAACAGGAGAACCACTATGAGATTGATCAATGTAGTGGGACCCAGTATACCCTGTACCAAATACATTTTAAAAAATATGATAATGTAAATATGATAGGGCTGTAGTCCTATTATATTACAAAAGCAGTTTTAAATTTATGAAATACTAATAGCTAATAGTTATTGAGTGTCTAGTGGGCCAGGGAGACCTATGTAAAATAAGTCAGAAGCAATTAAATATTATAGTTGGAAGCACTCCATCTCAAGCCACCTGCGTGGGCTTAGATCTGGGCACTGCCCCTTCCAGGATAGGTGTCACTGTGTGTCACCCTATTGGATGTTGCTCCTAACACATAAGGAACATGGCTCTAAGATTGGAAAAGAAAGTAAAATTTGCACCATTTTATGGCCTTTAAGAGAAAGAATATTAAATTACAACTATAGAATTAGGTGCGTAAGTGGCCATTTATTTAAAATGATAAAGTACAGCAGGTCACTTTTTTTCTCCGGTACTGAGGATCAAACTTGGGACCTTCTGCTTACTAGGCAGATGCTTATGCTACTGAGCTAAATTCCCAGCCCCAGATCACATATTTTATTAGCCTGACAAATACTAAAGATATCACTCAATGTTAGATGCCTGTTACAAGTGAGAGGACCTCAAACTTACAGTCTACTAAATTTCTTTCCTTCTTTTATTTTGGTTATGAGGATTGAACCCAGGACACTGCACTTGCCAGGCACTTATGCCGCTGAGCTATCTCCCCAGCCAGTCCACTAAATATCTCAATCATAATGCAATATTAAATATTGTTCACCTAGCATGTGTGAGATCCTGCATTCTGTCTTTAGTGCTGCTAAAAATAATAATTTAAAAATTAGATAAAAATAGTAAACCCATTAGATCTTCTTTATGGTTGTGGTGAGAACTGAGTAAGTCACTTCAGGTGAAACATTAGCATATAAGAAGAGGGAAGGCATGATTTGTTGTTTTGTTTTTACTATTTACATACAGCCTCATGAAATCTCCAAGAACCACTCCAAGGTCTCAGTGTATCTGCTTTATAGAAGACAGCCAGGGAACTTGTCCAGAAGTGACATACCTCGGCTACTACGTGCAGAGCTGGATTAGAGCCCGACTGTGTTGACAGCTAAAGCTGGAGCTCTCAATAAATCCACTAATAGCAAGCTACTTTCATATTTATAACATAATTTGTTTAAATGTGATTTTAATTTGCAGTTCCTGGCACATAGACAGTCGTTCAACACATGTTGGTCCTAACGCAAGCATCTATCATGGTGATACATTTCCAATTCTGAGAACTAGAAGTTTCCCGTACTTACCATGTATTCCGAATTCTCACCCATAACCTTGTCTTTACATTTGGGGGGAAAGTAGATAGCTGAAACATTTTTTTAACTCTACAAAATAAAGTCTGTAAAAGATTTTTTTTTGTGAGCTTCAAGCCTCTTAGTAATGCTTCCCTTATGTGCAGAGACACGATTGCAGAAAAAGAATTGTAGAAGTGGAAGGGGAAGGAGGGTGTTGTGTGA